GAGGCAATGCGATTGGCACAGGATAGAGCAGGGTTTAGGGCTGTTGTACATAGGGTCGCTATGAGTCGCAAACGACTCGACGGCACATAACCACATTGGGATTTTTTTAAGGGAATAGGCCGTTTTTATAGAGAAATGTTTTTGGAGTCTTTAAAGAAAATAAAAGCCTAAGAAACATTAAGTATGGCAGAGAAAAGAGGACCATAATTAGTCACCAGTAGCTCAATTGAATGAACTATGAGGTAAGCAGAAATTCTAATAGTTGAAGTTCCTTAATAGAGAAACTTTGAATGTCAGTTATCCAAGCAAGGCATGTCTGAATTTATGGTTTAAAGTACCAGAATTGTTTTCTGTTCGTTTTATAAAAGGGAAGTTTTGATAGGTAATCTTAAGATACTAGCCAATTTTGGGACTACAGTGAATTTATTACTTTAAAAGCTTACTGTACTTAGTTTTGTAATAGATAGATTAATCTTATCTTTTCTTAAAATGTCCTTAAATCATCAGCATCATAGTTATCTGAGTACTTGTTAAAAATCCTCAGACTCACTGTATCACAACTCTAGAGTGAAGCATAGCAGTCTTAGTAATCCTACAGGTGATTATGGTACTCACCAAAGCTTACAAGCTACTCAACTTTTAAATTCAAGGTATATTTATGCGCTAAAATTTATTTACTATCTTTACTTCAGTCTGAACTTGTACTCCCTCTCGAAAAAATTCAGGTTTAGAGTTTTAATTTTTAGTTACTATCTAATTGTTACCATCTAAGAATGCTTTTAAGAGTATTGAGTATTGACAGTGGTAGTTATGTTTTACTTTTCATGTTCCTCAAAATATGCAACCATGTGAGATTAAAGATACCTGTCATACGTATTTGAAAAGCCATGAATTTTTATAAAGGTGGAGATTTAGAATTATTAGAGGGCTAGAGAAGTTCAGTGACAACAAATTAGCTTCTACCAAATTTGAGCCCAAAGCTCCCATATCATAGCTTTAAAGGAAAGGGGGGGGGGATCTTAAAATGCTGTAGTGGCATTTTTTTTAAAAAAAATTAGCTTACAAAAAATAGATGCTTGGACTTTTATGAACACCTGTCATTGAGTGTCACTCATGTGCTAATAAATGTTAAACTTAGTATATGTCTATTTACATATCAACTGCTTTTAGATTATAATGGCAAAACTGGCAGGTGGACCTAGAGCTCCTAAACAAGAAAAATGGGATAAAGATGATTGGCAAGATGTTCATTTATAAATAAATCAGGTGCCAAATTGATTTCTAGAAGTGATGCATGCAAGCATTTTCACATTGCACGTACTGATGTATTGGCATGCTTGTTTAGGAATGCCCTTCACTAATGTGTATGGATTTTGTTGCTATTACCCAAGTAATGGGGTTTTTTTAAGCAAAACAAGTGATAAAGGCAAGCATAGCTAGTGAAAGATGGGCCAGGTAAAGGAGTTCAAGTGAAAAAAGGGGAAGAGGAGGAAAGGACCCTTGGAGAGATGGGTTAAGACCAGACTTTACAGCAAGCTGTCCGCAGAAAAGGAGAGTAAACAATTTCATTTCTAACAAAACTACTAAACTTTCTATTAGTGTTTCATATTCAGCATATAATAGATTGCTTATGTTGGAATATTTCTTACTCTTAAATTCTACTAATAAAATGTATTAAGTGTAAATTTTCCTCCCTCTTGTCAAAGTTGAGTTTATAACCAAACTTTTATCTCGTTTTCTAGATCATCATGGCAAAACCAGCTGGTGGGCCGAAGCCTCCAAGTGGCAAGAAAGACTGGGACGATGACCAAAATGATTAACTGATTTAATTATCGTGTAGGTGAAGCTTGTTTGCAGTAGTATTCTAGGAATTTCCTAATGTTTTCTCATTTTCCTTAAGTTAAGTGCTTTGTGTTTATATCCATTACCAGGTGATACGTAATAAACACGTTGTTACTATCTAAGCCTCATTGTCTGATGACCACGACCACTCTTTATTATATGCATAAAAACATACATGTCTGTTACATAACTAATTAATTGCTGCTGAGTTCATTCTAATGCACAGCTGACTCTTCATTAGGTTTTCTGGTGCTATAAATCTTAACAAGACAACACAGCCCATCTTTCCCTTTGAGTTGTAGATTCGAACTATGCCTCCAGAGCTCCACTATTTCATATAAATAGTTATCTTTGGATGGTTTGAGAACATGGGATTAAACACTTAACGGGCCCTTTACAGAAAATTTGCCTGCTTCTGGATTAGATTTCCAGCATTCTACACAGCCTCTGGCGATACCAAGACTGGTACATACGATATTACAGTAGCAGTGAGTGATCTATTGAATGGCAGACTTAAAATACAAATAGTCTAGGAGCAGATTGTAGGTAAAGTGTGATTAACAGGAAGATACCAAAAGATATCCCTGTGATATATACAATTGAAAATATTTGATACTTGGAATGACTGATAAAAGTAGAGCCTGTATTTTCTGAAGATCAGTCTGGATTGAAAACGCAAAGAAAATTGTAAATTGTCAAATTATACTTTTGTAATCTTTAAAAGAAATTTTTGAGGTAAATATGGCTGGCTGGGTTTTGGAGTAACTCAAAAAAGGTGTTAAAAAGATGCTTATCTTGTGCTCGCTTTGGTAGCAAATATACTAAAATTGGAACGATAGAGATTAGCATGGCCCTGTGTAAGAATGACAAATTCGTGAAGCGTTCCATGTCTCTTAGGACGAAACATATGGCCTCTGCTGTCCTGTTGATTTCTTAGGAGACTGCCCATCTTTATCCCTTGGCCCTTGGAGCAGCTGGTGAATTCTATGTGACCTTTTGGTTAGCAGCCTGCACTACCATGAGGTAGTTGAGTGCCATCAAGTTTAAACCAATCCAGAGCAGGTTTTCAGAGGCAGTTAATCACACAAGAGCATACTGTCCTTTTTCCCATGAAGCAGCTGGTGGATTCAAAGTGCATGGTAATTCCTTAAAACTAAGCCACCAGAGTTCCTTTCAGGACTTCCCTAGCTAGTAAGGGTGAATTAGGATAACAAATCTAAATAAAGAACATGACAAGAAGTTTAGATCTGATTAGTGTCCTTAGTCTCTGAGTTACATGTAGCTTAAAAAACAGTAAAAACACTTCACAAGAAAAATGGTTTTCTCTGATGGCACAGTCCAGAGGCAGCTGCAGCTAACCCAAATCGCCAGCCTGTCCGCAAAAGATGGGCAGGTTCCTCCCATTCCACTTTACAGCCTTGGAAGCAAACACAAGGGTCAGCTGGGAGTTGGTTCTGGTAATGAGTTCACAACACTGTCTCAGGAGTAGTGCCAGCTCAGCTTGTCTCAAGACTTTATATCTTTGCTCAGTGCTACTGCACAGGATAAGTTAGGCCTGTAACGCTAGTTTATGCATATTGCATGGCAGAAGGGCTAAGTACATGTTAATTACCTATCTGCCAAAAACCATGTCTCTGCCTGCAAAATTAATAGAGTGGTATATACAAAGTTTTGTTACCTAGCTTAAGGGTTTTTGTTTTTGTTTGTTTGTTTTTAGAAAAACCCATTAACTAGTAAGGTAAGCCAGTACAATGTAAAATCTAATAAAACGAGGGGTAAGTGAGTTTATTAATGTGTTTCAACCCACTTCCAACAAAACAAAGGCAAGATTGCCTTTCCAGAAACTGGTAAAAACCGCTATGATAATACAAAACCATTGTAAATGTTTATATATTTTTCCCTTCCATATTTAAATAAACATGTTTTCTTCTGACATGTTCTTAGTTTTAAGTAAGCATAATGAAGAGTTAGTCTTCATTTTTTATAAAATGTGTTTCTGGAGAACACTTGAGGATTATTACAGTATCCTCTCATAAAATAGAAGGTATGCTTGGGAGTTGAGTACTTTAGTTGTTGGCACAGCTTGCACATGTGTGTCGCTGATGTGAAACCACTGCCCTTTCGTTGATTCCATTTCAGAATCTGTCAAGAGAAAACGTGAGATTAAATACACATGGTAATATCCAAGCAGCTTGTTTTGCCTTTGTCATAATGTCTGAATTTTCCAAGATAATCTTACCTTGTGGGATATCACCATGGAGAACAAGATTAGAGAGCTGACTATTTGTATTTCTTGCCTTGGCATAGGCAGTATAATGTCCAGACCTCATTGTGCCACTGTGTTCAACAACTCCATATAAGGAATACAATACTCTTGTATTTTCTTCAACATTCTTTAAAAAATGAATAGAATTCAAAAAAGTTAGTTTGGTCCCAGTTACACATATTTGCTGGCAACACAATTTTAAACTACTTTGAAGTCTTTTTCTCATCCATATACTCAGTAGTAGTTCATGTAGGTTTTTATTAGAAGTTGTCAACCACCATTCTGCTGGAAGAACCATAAGTCTGTCATTCTAATTCCTATTTTCTAGTTCAAATATTGAATAACTGAAGTTTTCCATAGTTTGTTTCGAAATGTTGGGATCTAATTCTTAAGTACAGCAATAAAATACTCCTATCATCCTGGTCCCTGTCAAAATGGAAAACTTAAAAGGTAGCATTTAGGTTTTACCAAAATAGCCCTTTCCTTTTCAAATGCTCCTTAGAGTCTTTCTCCTACAGACATCAAGAGTTGTGTACTGTCTTACAGGAAACATCCCACAACTGACACTCTAGCAGGTTTTCAGAGGCCATAAACTGCACAGGAGGAAACTGGCTATCTTTCTCCTGCAGGAATGGCTGGTGGATTTGATTCACGTGCCTTGGATTTAGCAGTGCAATTCCTTTCCACTACACCACAGACATCAAGAAATGCCACATGGTGGGAAAAAAGTAAGCCATTTTTGGAGCTCTTCAAGACCACTTCCTGACATCTATTCTATTTAAGGTTTCTTGTTGGAAACCCATCTGAATGAGACTCATGACCCTTGGATTTTTCTGTGTCTGCATCCAAAATCACTTAACCTGAGGCTTTGCCAGCCCAGACCTTGTCATCTCCCTAAGATACTGAAGATAATTTTCATTTCCCATTAATGAAACTCATAATGCTGCTGTTTCAAATCAAAAGCTAGGACAATATTCTAGACTTGGTCATCACTTGGAACTCTGACCTCAAAAAGAATGTCCAATGCATACCCATGTTTATCGCAGCTTTGTTCACAATAGCAAGGAGTTGGAAAAAACCTAAGTGCCCATCAACAAACGAATGGATAGAGAAGCTGTGGTATATACACACAATGGAATACTACACTGCATTGAAAACCAAGGAACTCCTGCAATACTATTCAACATGGGTGACCCTGGAGGACATTATATACTGAGTGAAATATTTCAGTCACACAGGGACAAATACTGCATGGTGCCACTGTCATAAAACAGAACTGTCATCGGGTTTGGGGGGAGGCTGAGAAAGATGGGATAAATGATGTATAATGCACTGAAACAGATGAAGGAGAAAACTGTTTAAAAGGGATATATGATTAGGTATTACTGTCATGACAGGAGTCCAGAATGAAAACTGCATAGTGGAGTAGACCTGGAGGGAGGGACTGTAAAACAAAGAATTTTTTTCTTTAATTTTCAAAGAGAAGAGTGTACTTGGGCGGGGGGAGGAGAGGAATAGGAAGAAAGTGCAACAATGAATAAATGGAAATCTAAAGTCTCAAAATTTTCATTAAAATTAATAAAATTTAAAAAAAAATAATGTCCAGTCTAGGTCTATAATTTTTCCATCCTTCTAACTAATCTCACGTAACCTTTTTGCCTTCAGAAGAGCTGCCAAACAACAACATTGATACTTAGAACACTTAATTTTACTCTCCCTTTATTCTCTGCCCTTACTCTCTATAGTTGACCTCCCTCCCACTTCAGGAACACTGAGACATTACCTACACAATTACAAGTTGTCCATTCTCAGGAAGTCAAGATAGCTTCTCCCTTCTTTTCAAAGATGAAATTCCAAAGTAGTGTCCTCTAGGGCTTTTGCTAAATCAATCTCTTCTATTCCTCCAACATACAGTTTCTCCTCTTGACCCACTATTACATACACATTTCCCATATATTTAAGGGCGAAAAACACCACCACCATAAATCCATCTTTTTTTTTTTTTTTAAATCCATCATTTTGATCCTCTTTCAAAGAGACATTATGAATTTGAATCAACTCAACAGCATTGTTTGGTTTGGATCTGAAACTCTAATGTATTCAAAACCAAATTCATTTTACTTGTTTGATGACTCAATGTGCTCTTACTCTTGTATTTTCTATCTCTGTGTTGTTTTTGATTGCAGTCAGGTCAAGCACAACTATGAACAAAAGGCCTAATGCTTTTACATAACTATTATTGTTTCTCCAAGTTTATAGTTTCCAGAGGTTTTAGGAAGAGGATGCCACTCCTGCTTCCCAACCTGTTTTATATCTGGGAGCTCCACCAAACACTGTCCACATTGGGAAGCCTTTCTGGTATTTGATGTCCCAATGGCATAAGGCTAAAAGTCCCAGCAACCCAGGTTACTTCATACTGCACATTGACAAGAAGTGATGTACAAAGTGGAAGAGTGTTCCTCCAGATATAACAACACTAGTTTCACTTAGCAGTGGTTAAGTGTCATCAAGTCGAATACAACTGAGTAAGTCTTGCATAAAAGATCTAAACTCTGTCCTGTTCTATAACTACCATCATATCTGTACATTTAAAGAGTTTAAAGAGTTTTTAGTTTCCAGTGGCATTTAGTTTTAGGAAGTGGATGTCACTCCTGCTTCACACCATAAATCAATCTGGAAGCTCATCCAAACCCTACATAATGGGTAAACATGGTATTTGACAAGACTATGGAACAGTGTGCATCATCACATCATCATATTGTTCAGCAAATAGACAAAAGATTGCATTCGATGAATATTCATTCGAAAATTTAATAAATTTGTTCTCTTTGTTTCAGGTAGGCCTCACCTTCCAGAGCTCAACAGTCATTAAATCCGATAAATTTTACCTCTAGGGTCTCCTCTCCATCCCTCTTCTACAGGCCTGAGTTTAAGCCCTCATTTGTGGCCTGAGTGAATCCAGTAGCCTACTCTAGCTCCAATAGCTGGTTTCCTACTCCCATGTTTCATCCTAAAACCTAGTCTCTCTACTTCAATGAGTTGCTCATGTACAGATCAGACCATGTCACACCAATGCTTTAAACCTTTCAGTGGCTCTCCCAATAAAGCCCAAGCATCTCACCATTAAGAGCCCTCCAAAACCTCATTCTGATGTCACTGTCTTAATTTCCCCAACAGTCTTGATTCTGTGTGCCATAAATTCTGTTAGATGCCATTGAGGTTTTTTCCAACTCACAGACACTCCTTTTGACAGCACAGAACTGCCCCACAGGGTTTTGTAGTGTTCTTTATGGCAAGTAATAAGGAACTGCATTGCAAACCCAAAGGTATGTAGTTTGAATCCACCAGCTGCTCTAGAGAAGGATGAGCAATCTCTTCCCGTGCAAATTTACTACCTCTGAAAACTGGCCAGAGAGTCGGTTCCACAGTGCACGACAAAAACTCTTTAGGAGAGCAAATCACCAGTTCATTTTCACACAGAGCCACTCATACTCATTACCCTCAAGTTGGAACTGATCTAGTTGATTTTCCAGCAGGTTTTCAGGAGGCTAGAAATTACCTAAGACAACACTGCATCTTTCTACCACCTGCTTTGGTTAGGAACATAGACCCCGAAGCACTTCCTCACCAGAACTCTCTCCAGAGCCACTACTGTTATTATTGATGCCACTGAGACAACTCATCGCGACCCTATGAACAATAGGTCTTTGTCCTGTCCTGCGCCAGCCTCAATATTCAGAGCACACTTGAGCCCATTGCTGCAGTCACTATGTCAATCATCTTGTTGAGTGTCTTCCCCTCCTCTTCCCCTCTTTCATTGACCCTCCACCTTTCTGAGTATAATGTTCCCTTCCAAGGAATAGCCTCTCCGAGCAACATGCCCAAAGCTTCTAGGGAGATTCAAACAACCAGCCTTTAGGTTGACAGGTGAGTACTTAACCATTGCACCACAAGGACTCCTTCTATAAGTTCTCTCGAAAACACCAAATCCACTCCTGTCAAGTCAATTCCAACTCAGAGCAACCCTCTGTCATGTCTCTGAGGCTGTAAACCTTAATGGGAGGAGACTGCCCATCTTTCTCCCAAGGAGCAGCTTTGAGATTCAAGCTGCCAGACACACAGCCTTTTGGTTGGCAATGCCACATTCTATAAACTATACCACCAGAACAACTCTACGAGCTTTAGAACCACTTAGAACAGTTCCTAGCACATGCCACGCTATTTTACGCTGCTATGCCTTTGCTCCTATTACTGTTACTGCCTAGGCAAATGACCCATTTTTGACTCATCATATTACCTCTTAGTCTTCCCCTTAATACTACCTCAGGTAGATCCACAATACAGAGATGTTCTTGCATCACCAATATGATTTACGCACATATCACTACCACTCTGTGTATACCAGTCCTAACATTTACCATAATATACTGGAATTATCCATTTATGTCTACACTTCTTTACTTTATGCCTCTGGACATAAACAATGCTTGCCACAGTAATCAGGGTTCAGAATGTCTGCTGAACTAGCAACCTAATGTTCAAAACCATTCATCATGAACCTTGATAACTAAAAAGATACACTCTATTCACTAATTTTCATCAGATTTCTATTTATGTGAGCTGCTATTAAGATATGTGGTAAGCTGATTTTTTAAAAGGATTTTCTAAATAAAATGTGATTTCACCTACCTTACATTTAAGGGTACAAAAAGGAGCCAAATCTAAGATTTCCGGAAATTTGATGTGTTTATTAATTTTGCGAAGGTTAAAACCAGCCTTTTAAAAAAAAAAAAAAGTAACAAATTGAGTTACAAAATAGTTGAACACACCAACTGTATTGTTTCTCCACTGCTACAATGTCAACAATGAGTATTAGTCCAATCTTCTAAAGAGGTTCTTTCTCCTAAAATGAGTTTGTTTTTGCTAACTGCAGACAGGCATACATACACATGTGCAATCTCACACCTATATATTACAAAAACTCCCATGGAAGTTTTGGCCAATCCAAGGTAGAATTCTGAGTGATTAAAAAGAAGCGATAAAAGACTAGTTTTCAGTAAAGCATACAATTTTAATTTTGTTCTCTATCTAAATTTGATGACTTTTAAAGACAGACTCAAATTAGTCAAGCCCATAAGAATGAAAGGAAGACATTCTGAAAATCCTCTTTTTAATTTTTAATTGAATTTGAAAGTTGGACTGTTTACCGAAAAAAACCTTATTTAGAGGTTAGAGTCATCAGAATAATGAAACCACATTGTCTCTTATCAAAGGTCGGTAACTCTCTTGTTATTAGCATTATGAAGTAGCAGAAAATCAAATAAACTGTAATATTTTCAGATGGTGACAAATAACATGAGTGCTACAAATTGTTATGAACTAATCTCAAAACACCTGCTGGAATGTTCACAAACTAGAGGATTTAGCACAATTGAGAACTGGATTTTCTCTACTATATCAATGACGCTGTAACAGTGTAGAATATCCTAAACCTAACCAATGACAAGTTATAAAAAAATTAGTAGATTAAGCACATATTGGGGAAAACATGAAAATTAACAAAAACGAAGAAGGTCCTGAGTGCAACAAGAGAAATGTGACCACGTGACATAGACACTGCACTGATGGGGTCTTTCTCACAGTCCAGAACAGTGAGAAAATAAATTTCTACACAAGCCGTCCACTTATGATTTCTGTTATAGTAGCAGTGGCAAACTAAGGCATAGTTAAAATTTTTATTAATAGGGACAAATGAGGGGTACCTGCTGAAATCTCTTTAAGTGAAGAGTGAGGACAGGAGGAGCAAGAGAGATCAGCATCTGCTTCTCGGCATTAGTGTAAATATGTTTCCTTTCACCTAGAGAAACAAAGACATGTTAGCAACAGAAAAATCTCTTTTAGCCTTCTAAAACATTTAGATGCACTATAAAATTACTTAAGACCTCTAAATCAAGAATCAATAAACTTTTTCTGTAGAAGGCCAGATAGCACAAAAAAAATTCTTTTCCACATTTTATTTATTAAATTCAAAGTAATAACAATGAAATATAATTTTTTTAACAGAGCTTTACTAGTGAGAAGAGTGGAACTCTCTCCAGGGAATAACTTTTACTTAATCAAATTTCAAAATTACCTTCTTTTCACTCCTGTAAATGTTCATATGTAAAAACCATCTTAAGTCCACAGATTATATAAATTTTCAAAAGCAAGTGATTTACTCTATTTATAGAGGCCATTTATCGATATCATCCAGATACTGATACAATAGTAATACTCCAATGTCATTAAAAACTGTACTATGGATATTAATATTCTTTATAGAAAGATTCTACGTACCTTTCACATTTCCCTTTGGTCCATTGTACTGTCTCCGTGTGCATACTTCACAAAGCAGTTTATTGGCATCTCGAAGTTTCTCATTATGGGTGAACTGATATAAACAATGCTCGACTGACCACTCATTAGTTCTGAAAGCCTCTCTATTGGCCAGAGTACAGAAGGCAGTTTCTGGGTCTTCATTTACAACCTCATAAATCTTTGTCTCAGGAGTATGACTGTCATTCAGAATCTCTATATTTATTTCCTCAGGTTGAACAGCAGCATTCAATTTAAGGTTTTTAAAGTCATTGGAAATGTCCAGTTCTCCATCACTCTCTTCCTTCAGGTAGACACTGTTCAAATTCTTAGTGTATTCAGTAGGGGAAGATGCAAAGACCTCCAATCCATTATCCATACTGAGACTATTCACAACCACTTCCTCAATGAAGTTCTGATTGTCAGTTACAGTTTCTATCATTTTTTCCTGGCCATTCAAATCTTTTTGATTAGCACTATTTTCTTTATCAACAACTTCTTCTTGTGATATATGGTTGGATCTAGCATCCATTTCCCCTTGAAGTGATACTTCAGTATTACATTCATTATCTTCTTGATGGTCAACAGCACAAATATCATTTAAAAGAAGAACTTTTCCTTGAAATTTTTGTTGTCTTCGTTGATTCTATGTAAAGAACAGAAGACATTTTTTTAAAAAAAAGATAGAATGAGCACAGATGTATACCAAGCCTGTATAAGCAAGCATGTACACCACATCAGGTTTGTTCCTCATCAATCAAAAATATATAATGAACAATGTACTCCTAGAATTTTTATCTTAAAAGTTCTTTTATGTTCATAGATCAAATCTATTAGAGAGGACAGTTTTTTAACTTAAAGCAAAAAGGGGAAAAAGTTAGGAAGGAAGCCATATGTACAGAACAAAAAGAGATCTATCTGTACCCTTAAATTCACTTTTGTTGCCACTTGCAGTCTATTATTTTCAAGTAGAACCAAAAACACAATATTCTTCATGCTACTTTTGTGACCAATAACTTGAGTCTTAAAAGCATGTAAGCACCCATCTAAGATACAACAATGGCTCTCTCCCAATCTGGAGCAAAGAGGAAAGAATATTAAAGACTCAAGGAAGCAATTGGTACAGAGAGCTAATGGAGCAAATAAGCTAGTCTTAGTCTTCACTAGCATGAGATCAAAGAACCAAATGGTATATGGTGACCACTATCAACTTGCTCTGAATGAGACCACGCTAGAAAGGCTTGGACAGAGGTGACGGGAATATAGACAAAACATTCAAAACCATATTAAAGACCAGATTATTGGTCTGTTAGAGACTGGCTGGAACCCCCAAGATTATGGACTTTGGTCACCTTTCAGATCCACCCCTCACAGAATAAAAAGCAATAAGCCTATAGAGTAAACAATAACAGTCTTGAAAATAATCAACTATATGAGATTAAAAGGACAATATTTAACCAAACATTAAGTTTAGAAGACAGAAAGGGCAAGTACAAAGTAAAAATCCAATTGTGGAACCTAGTAAAAATAGTGTGAAGAATGCTGTAACATTGAGGGGACTGAAATTAAAGTTACAAAATTAAATGTATATAAATTACTAAATTGGAAACTAATGTTCTGCAAACTTCTACCTAAATCACAAAGTGTTTCTGTGTTTTGTTTTGTTTTTTTAAAAAAGTTCTTGTTGCTAAATGTCTAGTAACGCAGATGGTTTAACACTGTGGGTTGCTCCTAAAAACATGGACTTTATGAGGCTAATTTATACTACCAAAAGGCTGAAGAACAGCATACGGGATACAAACAGAAGAAAATAGGGAAAAGGATATGAATGAACATCACAAAATAAAATAAAATGGCTCTTAAATGTAAAAATGTTTACTTTCTTCAGAACAAATGCAAAATAAAAGTATAAAGAGATATTTTCCATGTATTTGACTGTCAAAAATCCAAAAGTCTGATAACGTACTATGTAGTGTGCTTTCAAGAACAGAGAGAAAAAAAACCTGTCAAATGTTTGTAATTAGAATATATATTGGTACAACCTCCATAAAGGACAATTTGATAATAATGCTAAATCCACCAGCTGCTCTGTGGGATAAAGATGGGCAGTCTCCTCCCATGCAATTTATTGGCTCTGAAAACCCACCAGGTGGTCAGCTATGAACTGGTTCTCACTCAATGCTACACAACAGCAACAACAAATCATCAAGTTGATTCTGCCTCATGGTGACTCAACATAAGATTTTGAGGTTCTAAATTATTACAGGGTGGAAAAGTGCCATCTTTATCCCTCAGAGCACCTGGTGGGTTCAAACCACTGACCCTTCCAATAGCAGTGTAACATGTAAGGCACTGTGCACAGGACAGCTCACTACCAGCAAAAAAGAAGAGGCTGAGAACTGAAGCACATGCTTTGGGACCAAAGATTCCTGTGTTTACACCGGGCCTACAAAAAATACTAGCAGCTGCAGCGACAACTAGAGACCCAATATGAGACAGAGCTGACCTGGACCTCCAGCCCCCTGAAGCCAGAGCCATGAGCAAGCTCCCTGTAAAGCTAGCGGGGAGATGTCACAGTTCTAACACCGCCTAAAGCCACACAGCTAAAGGGCCTAGAAGCATGCTTCAGAGCAGCTGTGACTAAGAATTTGTATTCTGTTGTCAACATGAGTTGTAACCTGTTAACTTCCCTAATAAACTCAATAATCGGAAGAGGGGGAGAGTGCGGGGGGGGCGGGGGGGGGGAGGGTGAAGACTATTCCACCAGAACTCTTAATGCAGCAATTGCTGCTGTGTACCATCAAATCAGATCTGACCGATGGCTGGTCCTCCAGTGGTTTTCAGAGGCAGTAAATCACACTCATCTTTTTCTCATGGAGCAGCTGGTGGATTCAAACCACACGCCTTCGGTATTGCAATGCACCTTCTTACCACTACGCCACCAGAGCTCCCTAATGCAGCAATAGCTGTCAAAATCAGAAATTTATCAAAATTTATCCTACAGATGGCCTCTGAGTGGGGTTCTTTGTTCCTGGTACATATGACTATTACAGAAAAAAGGCTGGAAACACATCTATAGAAAAATAATAAATAAATGAAGGTTGATGTATAAAATTAAAAAGTTCCCAGGAGATTAAGTACAGTGACTTACGATCAGCTGTTAGCAGTTTAAATTTACCTAGCAGCAACACAGAGGGCCTGGAAATCTCATTTAATAAAGATTACAAGCAAGAAAACCCTACAGAGCAGTTGTACCCTATCTCTATAATACACGGGGTCATCAAGAATAAGAAATAACTAGACAGCAATGGGCTTGGCAGTTTTTAGTTGATAAAATAAATATTATGCAGTTACTTGGAGGGAAAACTAATGAACAGTACTGTATCTTGATATGGGAAAATCTCCAAGTATCTAACTAGCTATAAAACAAAAACTAAAATCCAGAAACTCGCTGGCAGTGAGTCAGAACCAACTCATAGCTGACCGTCCAAGGGGTTGCCACAGCTATAGATCCTGTATGAGGAGAACACCCATCTTTCTCTCATGGAGCTGCTGGGGGATTCAAACCACCAAGAAAAATAGCAGCCTTTGGGTTAGAAGCACCGTTCCATCTGGGTTATCCCACTAGAGCTCATAGTATGAGTATTTGTTAATAATAATTTTTAAAAAAATCTCTCTACATAAATACATATGAAAGTGATTACCCATGGCAAGAAATACTGCAAATATAAAGGGGTAAGAAGGTAACTTTTCCTGTATGTTCTTGTTGTTGTCATGTACTGCTGAGTTGCCTGTGACTCATAGTGACCCTATGTACAACAACCCTAAATCCTGCTCCATCCTGTGCCAATCTCAGTCTCCAACACACCCACTCTGATTACCCAGTCACTGAATCAATCCACCTCATAGAGGGTCTCCCTCTCCTGCGCTGTCCCTCCACCCTTCAAAGCATGACGTCCCTCTCCAAGGACCGACGGTCCCTCCTTGCAACATGTCCAAAGTATGTCAGATGAAGCTTCAGAATCCTTGCCTCCAAAGAGCAGCCTGGCTTTACCCTGTCCAGGCTGAATGTGTTTGTTCTCCTAGCAGTCCATGGTATATTCAATATTCTTCTTCAATAACACAGCTCAAAGGCAAGAATTCTTTCTATCCTCCCTAGTCATTGTCTAGCTCTCTGACGCATAGTAAGTGACTGCAAAGACCATGGTCTGTATCTGGTGCACCTTAGTCTCCAGAGTGACACAACTGCTCTTCAGCACTTTGGAGAGGTCCATAACAGCAGATTTTCCCATCGCAATGCACCTTTTAATGTCCTGTCTTCTGGTGCCAAGAGTGCTGACTGTGGAGTCAAGCAAACTAAAGCTGTTAACAACCTCAATGTCTTCACCATTCATCCTGATGCTGCCAATTGGTCCAGTGGTGAGAATTTTTGTCTTCTTGACATTGAGCCTCAATTCTTATTAAAGGCTGGAGTCTTTGACCTTCTGCAGCAAGCACTTCAAGTCCTCCTCAGTTTCAGCAAGCATAATCAATGAAACACAGATAGACATTGCTCTGGTAATTCCTGCTTTCAGCCAAGATCCATTTAACATTAGCTACAATAACCCTATTACCACAACTCCTTCTAAACCTAGCCTGCACTTCTGACAGTACTCTGTTGATGTGCTGTTCCAGTCGTTTTTGGATAATCTTCAGCAGAATCTTGCTTACATGAGATAACAATGATATTGTTTGGTAAATTCCACTCTGTTGGATTTCCTTTCTTTGGGATGGGAACAAATATAGATCTCTTCCAGTCACCTGGCCAAGTGGTTGTCCTCCAGATTTCTTGACACAACGTAGTGAGCGTATCTAGGGCAACATCTGTTAGTTGAAATACGTCACTTGGTATACCATCTATTCCTGGGGCCTTATTTTTTGCCAATTCTTTCAAAGCAGCTTGAACTTCTTCCTTCATCACCATAGGCTCTTGCTCCTATGTTGTTTCATTAAATTCTTCTGTGTCCTCCAATTTCTTTCAGTATAATGACTCTGTATAATCTTTCCATCATCTCTTAATACTTGCAGGATCATTTAATATTCTGCCCAAAGCATCCGTAAGTATAGCAACTTGAGGTTTGAATTTGTTCTTCAGTTCCTTCAGCTTAAGAAATGCTAAGCGAGTTCAGCCCTTTTGATTTTCTTTTTTTCTTTTTTTTTTATTAAATTTTATTCATTTTAATGAACATTTACAGAGATTCTGGGTTTTCATTCATTCATTGTTGCACTGTTTTCTCCACCCTCATCCCCAGTTCGTTCTTCTTCCCCCCCCCACCATGTCTGTTTTATTTGTCCAATTGCCACAGTGCTTGTCAAAGCCAGTTCTGATTAATCTCCTTTGTCAGTGTGTCCCTTGCCATTCCCTATCACTCCTCCCTGAGAGAGACTTCACCCTGATTCATAAGGAAAAGGGGATGGCGTATTCTCTTAGCTACTTCCTGCTGAAAAGGGACGCTGTGGGTTTCAGGGTGAATGTCTTCTCTCACTACTCCAAAGGGCCCCCTTGGCAGTAGGAAACACATAGACTCTGGCTCCTTGCACATTTCATTGTAGTATTTTACTTCGTCTTCCTGCGCTGCCTTTTGAAATCTTCTGTTCAGCTTTTCAATATCTTGAATTCTTCCCACTGCTTTGGCTTCTCAGCACTCTAATGCAATATTCAGAGTCTCTTCTGACATCCATTTTGGTCTTTTCTTCCTCCTCTGTATTTGTAATGACCTTTTGCACTCTTCCTGGATGATATTCTTGATATCCTCTCACAACTCATCTGGTCTTCACTCATTGGTGGTTCTCTTGAGATGGTTCTGAAATTCAGGTGGGATAGACTCAAGGTCATATTTTGGTTCCCATGGATTTGACTTAATTATTCTTAGCTTCAGTTTGAACTTGCATATGAGTAGTTGGTAGTCTGTTCCACAATCAGCACCTGGCCTAGTTTTCTCAGATGATATTGAGCTTCTCCAGCAGTTCTTTCCACAGATTTAATCAATCTGATTCCTATGCATACCATCAGGTGAAATACATGTGATTTCCTGTATATTTTTACAGAGAGGGGGTGGTGTAGTCAGTAGGGAGTTACTCTGATAACTGGAAGGTCTTGCCCCTCTAGTGGTGGAAATCCACCAAAGGTGTCAATGAAGTAAAATTGGCTCTCTCCTTCCCTGTGACCTACACAGCTTCAATATCCCCATCAGTCAGTCCATCCTGACTCCATGGCAATGAGAGATTGTATTTTTAAACTTGTGAATACCAGAGTAGTGGTTTAAGAATTAAGTTTAAAAAAAAAATTAACAAAAACATTTTAGAAAAAGCTGTCATAAGTAATCTAGGCTTCAAAAAGCACAGCTTTATTTATATTTTACATCTACTCAAAATTATTATTCTGCCAAGAACACTAAATTAGCTAACTCTAAAATTGTCAAATGAAAGTAGTAGATATAAAAGGTGAAAAAACAGCTCCCAGACTGCAAAATCAATTAATTTCAATTAAAAAATTGAGGTTTTCCTCACCATCACCCACCTTGGCTTGCTTCTTGGCTTGCTTCTTGGCCTTTTTCTGTAAGTGCTTACTTGTTCCTGAAGAAATATCATTTCTATCTTTCATGTAACTGTCATTATCTTTTTCTTCCTCATTGTCTTTATCTTCATTCTCCATTGTTTTTAGATTTTTATCATTTATACTTTTCTTGTCATTCTTAAAATATGAAGAGAATATAAATAAAAAATAAACCTTTACAACTATTATTGAATGAAGATAATTTATGTTATCTGTGTATTTTTCTATTTCTACTTTACACTGAACTAGAATTAACAAAACAGCAATGAATTTGGTTTCATTTTACACTAAGTTAGATTTTCTCCAATATTTGAAATTCAATCCAAGACAAAATTTATATAATAGAAAACAATCTTCACAAACTAAGGGGGGAATAAAAGTCAGCAGCATATACTGGAAACTCCACATTCAAGAATAAGAGAATGTAATAAATTTGACTAGGTGCGTGCTTGTTTCACAACTTACACATGCACATTTCTTTTTTTTTTTTTCTTTTTTTCACATGCACATTTCTAAGTGCACTTTCTGTTTTTAAGTGGTTTTTATTTGTTCCCTGTTTTGTCTATAAATTATAGTTTTAGAGAAAGAGGGGGAAAAGCAAGTCTGGTGAGGCTTTCAACATGGTGAGGCTTTCAATAAGAGACTCTTCATTGATAAAAAGCTGAATGATGACTGCTCCAATAAAGTCGTATGTTCTCTTTTTTCACTATTACTTAAAATGCAACAAAATGATATGGCTTAAAAATTAGGAGTCCTGTTGACATAGTAGGTTAACTAAGTGCTAGCCTGATAACTGAAAGGCGAACAACATGAACCTACCAGTGGTTCCACAGGAAAAATAAAAAGTCCCTTCATTAACATTTACAGCCTCAGAAATCTGATGGGAGAGTTTTACCAAGAGTCAGAATCAACTTAATGACAGAAGCTCTGGATCTCTACTTAATATTTATGATCACTTAAATTTTGGCATGAGGCAAGTATTTCCCAATATTTAAAGCAATCAAGGTAATTATTTTTAACATTCCAAACACGCCAACCTTTCTTCCCTAAGGGGAAAGAAAAAAGATTTACCTCATTCTCAAACCATAAAAATCACTTCACCTCAAATATATTAAGAAAAATTTCTCCATAAGCTAGAAATACACAAAATTGGAAAAGATGATAGGACTTTCCCACATAAACTCTAACAAAGGAAAAGAAATTACTTAAATAAAATAAACTCAATAGTCTTACCTGATCATCTAAAACTGGGAGAGACAAATCAAGGAAAGATTCATGAACCAAGGAGACCTTAACCAACCAAAAAAGAAAACGTAAAAGGAGGGAAAAGATTCACTTTACACATTATATAATAAGATCCTCCCATGCTGAATTTTAAAATAAACAAAGATATAAGAAAATTAAATCAAAAAATTATACAAACTCAGACCATTAGGTTAGGGAAAATAAATTTCAAGTGTTAAATTAACTTATTCAAGTCTTAAAAAGTATTAATATTTCCACCAAAGAATCACTCCTATTTGGATGGTTCAATAAAGAGTATTTTATTTTACAATGTTAGAAATCTCTTAAAGAAAAAGCTTATACGCTGCACTCTATTTCTACTACTAAATCAATCCACTCATATCCACAGCTACTTACAGTTCTACATTCATTACACATTATTGCACTCGTCAGTTCACCACCAAAAATGCGATCCACAAAGCTCGGTCCTGATTTTCTCTTTTCATAAGCTGTGGAAAAAAAATACTATTCATTATTAAAATTAATAGAATAAAAAAAGAAAAGATAAAACTATTTACTACCTAACTTTAATTTCCTAACACATAGACTTTTAATTCTATTCATAATTACAACAATATTATTAGTTAGGGAAGTGAGAACATACTCTAAGCATAATGGCATTTTATAAAACCCAATCACCTTTATTATTAAGAAAACAGTTCTTTTCCAACAACTAGTCAGTCGAAAGGAAACATCCTGTATATCAAATTCTCCAATATTACAATGAGTAGGCTAGCTGACTTCCTAGCTTCTTTCTAGCTCTAATTATTCTCCATTGAATACTAACAAAAAAACAGTATGGCAGTAAATTTGGAGAGAATAATATGTAAACAGCTTTGTAGACTCTTAAGACTTTCCTCTTGTTTTATAAAAAAAAATTAAGAAACTATAAAGAAGAAATCTTTTTCAATTTTCTCATTTCTAGGTAAAGAATCATGATCCATTTAATATGAGGTGAAATCTTTTACAACTTGAACACCAAATTTTCTAGCTGCAAGAAATTTACAGGTAAGTTTATATGCCATTTAAGATGTCGGGTGTCACATTTTATATAAAAGATCTTTTTAAAAAAACCCAAGAGCAGAAAAGGGTCCTAATGAGGAAAAATCACCTTTAGGTTAATGCTGCCAAGTCAGGAATGACGCATAGCAGATCCTCCAGTGTTAATGCTAAACTGTGTTAATACAGTGTTTACTAATCATGAGATATTGGTGATTCTGTTACATACTATCAAAGCAGAACTGACTAACAGCTGGCCCTCCAGTGGGTTTTCAGAGGCCATAATTCTCACAAGAGGAGACTGCTGAACTTTCTCCTGTAAAGCTGGGAGATTTGAACTTTGCATCCTTGTGTTGACAATGAAACTCCTTACCTTAGCTAAGCTATCAAAGCTTCCTAATCATTACCAGTCATTTAAATTTATTATTAAATGGGATTTTACTCCTTTAGTTGCACTTGAACATTTCAATTATTCAACAGGGTAGTGGCTACTATATTATACAATGTAGGCATAAACCATATCCATCATCACAAAGAGTTCTTTTAGACAAAAACCCAAATCAATAACAAGAAGAGCTAAGAAAGAATTAAGCTTCATGATTAATAAATTAGTCACCATCAATTCATAAAGGCAAATATAATTTACTTATCACTAATTATAATTCTGAACTTTTAAAAAAATAAAACTGAGATGTCATTTATCTTTTGCAATTTTCATGGTAATATACAAGACACAAATTTTTTTTCCCCAGAGTACTTTTAGCTTTGTAGAATTCAATGAAAATATAAACAAATAATAGTGACTTAAAGAAGTTATGTTAATCATTTTAGACTTAAAATACACTACCAGAAATATTATTCAAAAGTACAAGAAATTCAGAATATTTTCTTTTATTTCAAACACTCAGACATTACCTTTTATTTTATTTTTTAGTTCTTCATCCAATTTTTCTGTAGAATTACCAATTGCTTTAAGAATTCCTTTACTCACTCTCTAAAAATAATAAAATAGATATACATATTATTAAATTTTAAAGTTCAGTCATTTTCTTTTGAAAATATATAATCAAATCAAGAAAGTGATCAAGATGTAGCTCTACAGATTTAATTAAATAAAAATTAATAGTTCCAAATCATACTTCCAAAGATTCTTCAAAAAACTAAACAAAAATTGTGCAAATATAGTCACTAACCACTGAATAAAGGCAGTCTTAATTTCAAGTTCTTAACTGATTCATACCAAAGCTTTTTACAACATGATCTATTCCTTTTAAACATTTCATGCTAGAAGCAGAGTGAATGAACAGAAGCTACTGCAATGGACTCCTAAGATCAAAGTCCAGCTCCATCATCACTGGGCAACCTTGGATCAGGTACTCAATCTATCTATATCCCAGCTTCAAAGTCTATGAAACAGAATAACAGTACCCACTTCATAGGGTGACTGAGAGAATCAAATAAAGCCTATTACATAAAATACTGAACGTAGCTCCTTGGCATAAAGTGAGAACAAAATATATATGATACTGTCACTATTACTACTTAATTCTATTTACATTCCAAAATATATTATTTAATACTTGCAATTAACAAAAACTTTAAATTGTAACAACTGTACAATGAACTTTACAAAATTAAAATACTTTCTAGGTTCAACACTGCTAAACTGCAATCAAGAAGGTATGCTACAGCTGGGAACTGCCGAGGGAGAAACATTTTCCAACATTTGTAGCTCTCCTCATAAAGGCTAGTACAATAGAACTCTTAATGAACAATTAAGGCCGAAAACATCATGTAACCAAGAACATTACAGGAACGAGAGTCATTTCCAATTCTCAATTCATTTTAATGATTAAACATACTGATTGAAAAAGTCTATGTAGAGGAAATGTTAAAAAGTACAAAGGCCTCAATCATTAGCTATTACTGCTTTAATAACTCTTTAAAATATCAGCTCACAGGAAAGTTCACAAAGTTGGGATTATAAAACACAGTGACCAGAATAAGCTAACCTGGTGTTCTTCTGCTCTCATTCCATCCAACAAATAGCGAAGCAACTCCTGGCTGTCTTGCTGTTGATAACCTTTAAACCGCACTGCCCTGTGAAAAGCAAAAAACAGAACAAACAAAATCAATTTACTAAGATATAAAGTTTGCTTACAAACTGTAGGTTCGTATTTCAATCTCACTGTCTCTAATTTCAAAAAATCTGCGTAATCTGACAAAAATCTTCAAAGATTTCAATTTTTTATGTAGAATCTATGCTTTCACTCTCAAATCAATACTGCTGAGTCAAGAGCTGACTCACAATAGGTCCTCCAAGGGAGTCTCAGAGGCTGTAAACTGCACTGGTTGAGAATGCCCATCTTTCTCCTTTGAAGCAGCTGGTGGAATAAAAAGCCTTTGAGTTGGAAGCACAACTTCTTACCCACTGGGCAACTAGAGCTCTCAATTTTCACTCTAAGTGACATAAAGCACGCTTTAATGTCTGCACTAGTGGACACCAACGTTATGTTTCTATTTCTCAGTATCATATTGATGCATTAAAAGCACACTCAAAGTGGATACTCACTTTTTACAGACCTGAGAAAAGAGTTCTTTAGGTGTCACAATTCCCTTTTTGGTTTCTTGCATCTCGTTAAGAAACTCGCTCATGGCCAAAGTAAGAGGTCCTGGAGGATCAAGGTTTATTTCTAAGGGTTCCTGAATATGGGAATAAAATTACTTTCTTTAGTCAAATTTTATGATCATTTGCTTCACTTATGATATAATTAATTAAGTAGCCCAATTTAAAAGTTTACAATATGAACCACAAAATAAATTTTCTGATCATACCAAAAGGTAAGCCCATGGCCACAGAGTAGATTCCAACTCACAGTGACTCAAATAGGATAAGAGTAAAACGGGCCTTCAGCGTTATGATCAAGAGGCAGTGGTGACAAAGGAGGAATTTCAAGCTGCTCTGAAAAAACTGGCAAAATACAAGGCCCCAGAATTGATGGAATATCAATTGATATACTTCAGCAAACAGATGCTGCTCTGAACACAGTCACTAGGTTATGCCATGAAATTTGGAGGACAACTAACTGGCCAATTGACTGGAAGAGAACTATATTTATTCCCATTCCAAGAAAAGGTGACTGACAAAGAATGGAAATTATCGAACAGTATTATTAATATCACATGCAAGCAAGATCCTGCTGAAGAGTATTCAAAAATGACTGCAACAAATACATCAGCAGAGAACTGCAAGATGTGCAAGCTGGGTTTAGAAAAGGCTAGGGACTAGGGACATCACAGCGAGCATTAGCTGGATCTTAGCTGAAAGCAGAGAGTACCAGAGGAATGTCCATCTGCATTTCATTGACTATGCAAAGGCATTTGACTGTGTGGATCACAACAATGTATGGCTAACCTTGGGAAGTCTGGGAATCTCAGAACACTTAATAGTGCTCATACGAAACCAGTACTTAGACCAGGAAGCAGAAGTCAAAGCAGAGCAGGGAAACATGGTTCAGGATCAGGAAAGGTGTGCATAAAAGGATGCATCCTATCTCCATACCTTTTCAATCTATATGTAGCACAGATCATTTGGGAAGCTGGACTTTATGAGAAGGAATGTAGCATCACGATTGGAGAAAAACTCATCAACAACCTGCATTATGCAGATGATACAACCTTGCTTGCTGCAACCGAGCACAGCATGAAGCATTTGCTGAAGAAAGTCAAGGACTGCAATCTTCAATATGGACTGAAGCTCAACATCAAGAAAACTAAAATTCTCAAAACTGGGCCAATTGGCAGCTTCATGATAGACAGAGAAGAGATTGAGACTGTTAACAACTTCAGCTTGCTTGGTTCCAAAATCAACATTCTTGGTACCAGCAGCCTGGAAATCAAAAGATGAATTGCACTGGGAAAGTCTGCTGCCAGAGACCTCTCTAGAGTATGGAAGAGCAGCAATGTCAGTCTGGAGACTATGTTGCACCTAATATAGACCAGGGTCTTCGCAATTACATGTGTAAGAGAGCTGAACAATGACTAAAGATGATGGAAGAAAACTCAATGCCTTTGAGTTGTGGTGATGGAGCAGAGTGTTGAACATACCATGGACTGCCAAGAGAACAAACAGGTCAGTCCTGGAGAAGGTGAAACCAAGCTGCTCCCTCGAGGCCAGGATTTTAAAGCTCCATCTCACATACTTTGGGCATGTGGCCAAGAAGGATCAGTCCTTGGAGAAGAATATCATTCTTGGAAGGGATAGTGCAGGAGAGGGAGACCTGGGATGAGATGGATTGACTCAGTGACTTGGAAAGTAGGACTGGGTCTGTCAGAGACAATGAGGCTGGCTAAGAATAGGGCAGGGTTCAGAGCTGTTGTATATAGGGGAGCTATGAGTCATCACATGTAACTTGATGGCACATAAGAACTACCACCACCACCTTTACAGGAAAAGACTGCCACATCTTAGTCCAGAAGAGCTGCTGGTGGGTTCAAACTGTCAACTTTTTGGTTAGCAACTGAGCACTTAACTATCATACCACGAGGATGGTACTATCAACATAGTGTGCATTTCATTGCCAATGTAAAGGTCAAGGTTTGAACCAATTCCATAGCACTGCAAAAGAAGAGTATGGCAATCTGGTCCTGTGAAAATAAGACCACTTTTACTCAACAACAACTGGGATGGCTATGTGTGGGAACTGACTCAATAACAACAGAACTGTTTAATTTTTCAAATATCAAGAATTTACTATTATTAAAGAACAAAAAAGACTAAGTAAAATGTAAGTAATCAAATGAATAAGAGAAAACTCATTTATCTATACTGCAATAAAATTAGTATATTAAAAATATCAATGCAAATCTAGGGGCTTCACAAGTATCAGCAGCTTTCCAAAGAAAGAAGAGCATATTAGAGAACAGCTATGTTGTTAGAACTTTGAAAACCGACTCTTTGATTCATTGTGTTAGCCCTCACTGGGGTCATGGTCTCCATCTATCTCATACTGACACATGACTTTGCAAATCAGCAGCAGCTGTGGGATCAATATAGGATAGCACTTTCCACACTGTGGAGAGACTATGAAGAGACTATGGCAAGGTGTAGCTGGACAGAAACCTGGAGATAGAGCCAGAGCTAAAGGTTTTGCTTCTGGATGACTGAATGAAGAGTTGACTTATGAATGCTATGAGACAAAGCTTGCTGGACAAATGAGGAAACCAGAGGTTTTTATCTGTGCTGCTGAACAGATCCTAAACTTTCACTTGTTGACTGAGAAGCTGTATGAACTAATTGAGGAATTGTGTCTTGATGGTAGTCTGGCTTGGAGCTGCTATTCACTAAACCTGTACTTTCACTATGTCCTTTGTCTATCTCACCCGGCCCTGACCTATTTTTCTAATAAACCTAACTATTGTGAGTAAAGTCTTTGAGTCAATTTGCAATGACCATTGGACTCAGTGATTCACAGAAATAGGAGCTGGAGCATAGGACTGGGACATGACCATGAAAGTATTTGTTTGATACTATGGATGTTATTGCTGGGCACAGTTCCCCTTTATAAGGCAAGGAGAAGTTGGACTCTGCCACCTTTTCATTGCAACTGCCCCTTATACAAGGGAACATGAAATTGACATAGAAAATAAATATAAAAGCCATTTATAATTTCTATTAGTTTTGGAACATTTAACTTGGTAATCTATAACAGAACAAAAGCAAATTTTAAAAGTGGACATAAGTGTCAATTCCTTCATATAATTTTGAATGTGGACAATCAAAGGGGAACAGTTACTAACTGTAAAGGAACATTCCATATAATGATTTACATACAGTTAGTGCCAAATCAGGTGGTTCAATTTTCACAATTGTTCCAGACATTTTTACTTCTTTCAGTAGCTCTCTAAGTACTGGTGTTTGTGATAAATTCTGGAATGAAGAAAAAGAGAAAGAAAATTATCTTAAAAGATAATTTACCCAAACTGCTTTTAAGTATCTAATCTATCAAAATGGAAAATCATGAACAACACTACAATCTTTAATACTTCTACTTTTGGGAAACAAAAACTTATGTCATACTCTTCTCTTTACTTGTCTGATAAATACTTCAGTTCTAAATTCAATTATCACTTTGAGAGGCATTCTTCAAATATATTCAATCTGAAGGAGAAATCTCTCTACAATCACCGCCACTACCATTCTCTCACCATCACTTGTAACCAGATTTGTTTCTGTTGTAAGTTATCCTGTTTCCTTACCCTAAGCATGCTCCTGAAGGGCAGAGACAATGTTTGTTTTATCATACTGTATCCCAGTACTTAGCACAATGTTTTAGTGTCTTACAAAATGAAACATTTGCACTTTCTATGAAAACACAGAAATAAATTACTTATGAGAGAGAAAAAAATCCTCAATACTATAAGTAACAAAACCTATAATACAAAGAAAAAGTTAGATTTCTTAAAAAATAAAAAATGGTAATACTGTCACCTGCATAACTGCATTGAAGAAACATGTATTTCCCAAATTACTGAGGCCTTTCACAGTCATCTGAGAAGTAGAATTCATAGGAGTTTCTCTAGCCATGTTTTCTTTTTTTTCTCTTTCTTGTTCATTTTTACTCTCTTTTGCTAATTTTTTATTTTCAAGCTCAATGTTCTCATCTTTTGCTGCTTAAAAACAAGAGGGGCATGAGATTTAGTAGAATACATGTATATTATACAATGCAAAATTCTAACTGGGATAGAATTACCAGGAAATGTTTACCATTAAGCAGATATTTCTTTTTAAATGTTGACTAATTCATATGCGGGAGAACTGGTAGTGTAGTCTGCAGGGAGATACAATGCTAACCCAAACGCCACACCTCTCTAGCAGATGGGATCCACCAGCAACTTCAATGAAAGGAAAAAGGGCAATCTCTTCCCATGCAATTTAGTCTCAAAGATCCAAGATAGGGAAGCTATAAGTCAGTTCTGACTCAATGACAATGAATTTGAGTTTACTGAGTTTGAACTGACACAAAGACCAAAAAACCAAAAATATTCAAAATACATAAACAATAACTGGACAAATGAAACCAAACAATATATGCTTTGATATGAATCTTCCCTTTACTACTGCACAAAAATTCTTTTCAAACAAGCATATTTTATCATGAAATACTAAATACCAGGAGAATTAAACAATCAAAGAATAGAGACAAAAAATAATTTATTTTTTCAGGTCAAAACCCAATCTTGAAGTTCTAAACAATCAATTCTGGTTCCGCCAAAGATAATTCTGTGACCCCAGTTCCCAGAAGAAACCTAAACAAGCTTAAAATAGATAATGTAAATCTACCCAATCAGCTGAATTATTCAAGAACCTGAAAAAGTGCTTTACTTTTTGTATCATCCTATAGACCGAAAACTTGCTATACAAACTGTTACACAGTAAATTCAGTGTAAGGTCTACTTAGCTCCCATCTCAGGATGTTAAGTGCTGTAAAGTATGACTAATCATAAGAAACCCTATAAACAACAGATCTGAATCCTGTTCTATCTTGCACCATACTTATCATCCCTGAAACACTTGAACCCAGTGACTCAGTTACTATATCAATTCATCTTGTTAAGGTTCTTCTTCTATTTCACGTATTCTCCACCTTTCCAAGCATGACGTCCTTTCCAAGAAAAAGCCTCTTCAAAAACATGCCCAAAGTATAAGAGATGAAGCTTCACCATCTTTGTTTCCAGTGAGTATTCTCGCTGCACTTTCGTCAAGATACTACAACTCAAAGGCATTGATTCTCATTCTGTCATCCTTACTCACTATGTAGCTTTCAGATGCATAGAAGGTGACTAGAAAGACCACAGCTTTAATCAGGTGACCTTAGTATTCAAACTGGCATCACTGCTCTTCTTGACTTTTGAGAGGTCCCCGACAGCACTTTTCCAAAGCAATACAACTCCTGATCTCCTGGTACCGAGATTGTTGATTATGGGTCCAAATAAGATGAAATGGCTGACAATTTCAATCTTTTCTCCATCTAACATAAAGCTGCCTATTGACCAAATGGTAAGAATTTTTGTGTTCTTGATGTTGATATATACTCCACATTGAACACTAGTCTATGAGCTTCTGCAACAAGTGCCTCAAGGCCTCCTTGCTTTTAGCAAACAAGGCTGTATCAACTGTGTAACACAGGTTGTTGTTGTTGTATTCTGCCAATCCTGATGCCAAATTCTTCTTAAAGTCCAGCTTCTTGGATGATTTGTTTAGCAGACAGATTGAAGAGGTATGGAGAAAGGACACAGAACTGACATACACTACCCAATGTTAAGTCATGCTCACAGCTTCTTGATCTAGGTATAAGTTTTGTATAAGCATAATTAAGGATTCTGGAATTCCCATTCTTCATGCTATCCACAATTTATTATGATCCACACACTCAAATGGCTAGACACTCTTCTGGTAATTTCTGTCTCCCTATCCTAGAAGGTGGGTTGCAGAATTCTAGACAATGAATATGGATGACAGAAGTATTGATGTCTCTGAGCTGTGGTGTTGGAGAAGAGCACTGAATATCCCATGGATGGCGAAAAGAACAAACAGGTATGTCTTGGAGAAAGTGTGGCCAGTGGGCTCTCTGAGCATGTTGCTAGGAGGGGCTATTCCTTGGAGAGGGACATGATGCTAGGAAGGGTGGAGGGTCAGCGAAGGAAAGGTGGAAAAGGTGGACTGACACAGTGATTACCACAATGAGCTCTTGTATTTCAGGAAGTGTGAGGATGGAGCAAGATAGAACAGGGTTCAAATCTTTTGTTCATAGGTCGCTGTGAGTCGTACTTGACACAATGAATGGCACCAATAACAACACCCTGATAGGAAACAACAGAATCTATGTCAACAAGTGTTTCATCTCTGGATTGGGAAACAGCAATTACTACCCTTTACCTTTACAGAGTTTATGTCACATTTGAGTAGTTTAGTTTTCTATTTCTTCCCAAAACTGTTATGTGTTGTTGAGTCAGAACTGACAGCAGGTTTTCAGCATCTGTAAATCACAACTCCTTGCTCAAAAGGCTACTTTACTCCATATAGTCCACTGTTTCAATATGCTTAACCAAAAGGGTTTTTTTTAAATTCTGAATACAACTAATTCTGAAGTAACTAATGTTGCCTAGGTATATGTAACTCCTGGAGCTGAATAAAAAATAGAAAATATCAGCATATATGAAAATCAACATTACAGCATACACTAAAAAAAAATTCTTTTACCTGATTTTGAAGGCATAATACTGGCTTGTTTTCTAATATAATCAACCACTTGACCCAATCGATTTGAACTACGATACTGGACCTCCTCATCACATATGTAACACCTGATCACAGAGAAGGAAAATGACAGACAACAAAAAAAAGGGACGACTTTACAATTTCTGGAATTCAATATGTGCAGTGGTCAAATTTACTCTATTACAGAAACCAAAAGTATAATTTCTTTCTTTAAATAACAATTCTTTATACTTCCTTATACTTTCTTGGAAAAGACTATCTCCACAAATTATGTTTTACATAATAAACTCTGGTTTACTAAGTTAACCAGAATTCTAGCTATATAATATGGAAAAAACCTCTTAAGGAAACAATTTCCTGGAATGGTTATTTGTAACACTAAAGTACAACATTTTTCTATACATATTTCAAAGTCACATATATAATTAAAAATGTCAACAAAATAATAAATTTTACCCTGGCTTTCAACCCAGTTGGGCAGATCTATGAGTTTTAAAGGTTAAATAAATATGTTAATGATGCCAAGATATAAGAAATAAAGTTTACCAAATAAAGATCTCTTCCTATGCAAATTAAATGCCAAGGTTATTACACTATATTCTCCATTTACCTGAAATTTGTTCTTAATATGCCAGTTGTAAACTAAAAAGCTGTTCCCATAAAATGTTTTCTAATAATACTACAAGAAGAAAAAACCAAAGTGAGTAAAAACTCTTAAGGATAAGACTCCTACATGTTACAATTTTTCTGTTCATCTATTACTAAGCAAAAGTACCACGTAGTATTCCATTTGCTAACCTTTCAATAGTAAAGTATTTAAAAAATAATTTTTAAAAAATTAAAAAATAATTTAAAAAATAAATTTTAACTTTTTTGTTTCTGAAACATTTTCAAATATCTCTCTTCTTCAATATTTCAAGGAATTTCTAGTTGGTGTGTACAAGAGTTAAAACTCACCACACACTCCAGTTGTCTAAATTAAGAACGAGGCAGTGAAGTTCAGATCTTGGTGTCATATAGTGCTTCAAGGCATGCTGCTCCTGAGAATTTCTGCCACAACCCTAGAGGATTATAACCATAAAGCTCAAAGTAACAGGAATTAAAGGAGTAAGAATTCATCATCGACAGTGAATAAATAAGTGGCTCACATAATTATGTCATTTATACAATTTTGAAAATAAAATGTTAACCCAAATAAAAAAGTTAATTCAAGAAAATTTTTAAAATAAAACCTTTACAAAAGTCTGTACTTCCTATAAACTTGAACACCTGTGTATGACTAAAGATATTAAAAGAAAAAAAGTATTTAGAAAATTAAGCACTGGTGGCCTAGTGGTAAGGAGTTGTGCTGCCAACCCTTAGGCAGGCAGTTTGAGTCCACCATCTGCTCCATGGAAGATAAGCAGTATCTTCCTATGCCATTTATAGCCTGTGAAAATCCGCTGGAGGATCAGCTATGAGGTGAAGCCAATGTAAAGCGATAAAACAACAAGAAGCACAAAAAGCACTCTTCCTCTTCATGAAACTTGCCCTTTCTAGACACAATTAAACTATACTAATTTAGTCACTCACAGGTCAGAATTGGATTACATAAAGGCTTCATAACCATTATCTTGAATCAACACTCCTCCATGTATCTTTTTTTTAGCATAATGTTCCTAAAACAAAGCTGTTTATATATTTATTTCATAAATTATTAATTGCTCTCAATCTATCCATAAACCCACTGCCACCAAGCAAACTCCAACTCACTGCAACCCTCCATAGGTTATCCAAGGCTGTACATCTTAACAGGAGAACACTGCCCATCTTTCATCCACAAGGCAGCTGGTGGATTTAAACTTCTGGCTTTCCAGTAACAGTCCAACAGGGAAGGAACTACATCAGCAGGGTTGTTGTTGTTTTTGTTGTTATGTGCCGCCAAGTTGTTGGCGACTCCTAGCGACCCTATGTATAACAGCCCTGAACCCTGCTCTATCCTGTGCCAATCGCACTGCCTCTGACTCACCCATCCTGATTACCCCTCTCACTGAATCAATCCATCTCATAGAGGGTCTTCCCCTCTTGCGCTGTCCCTCCACCCTCCCAAGCATGATGTCCCTCTCCAAGGACCTGTCTGTCCTCCTTGTAACATGCCCAAAGTATGTCAGACGAAGCCCCAGAATCCTTGCCTCCAAGGAGTAGCTTGGTTTAACCCTCTCCAAGATGAATCTGTTTCTTTTCTTGGCAGTCCATGGTACATTCAATACTCTTCTCCAGAACCACAGATCAAAGGTATCAATTCTCCTTCTGTCTTCCCTAGTCATTGTCCAACTCTCTGATGCATAAAAGTGATTGCAAAGACCATGGCCTGAATCAGGCGCACCTTAGTCTCCAGAGAGACACCACTGCTCTTGAGTACTTTAGAGAGGTCACTAACAGCAGACTTTCCCATCGCAATACGTTTTTTTATTTCCTGACTGCTGGTGCCAAGAGTGTTGACTGTGGAGCCGAGCAAACTGAAGCTGTGAACAATCTCAATCTCTTCGCCATCCATCCTGATGCTACCAATTGGTCCAGTGGGCAATCTTTGTCTTCTTGATATTGAGCCTCAGTCCATACTGAAGGCTGCAGTCCTTGACCCTCTGCAGCAAGTGCACAGGTCCTCCTCAGTTTCAGCAAGCAGGGTTGTGTCACCTGCATAACGCAGATGGTTAATAGATCTTCCACCAGTCCTGATGCCACAATTCTCCTCATAGAGCCCAGCCTCTCGGATAATCTTTTCTGCATATAGGTTGAAAAGGTACCGAGACAGGAAACATCCCTGGCATACACCCTTCCCAATTTTGAACCATGCAGTGTTACCCTGCTCTGTTCTGATGACTGCCTCCTGGTCCAAGTATAGGTTTTGCATTAGTATGATTAAATGTTCTGGGATTCCCATTCTTCTCAGAGTCAGCCACAGTTTGTTATGATTCACACAGTCAAAAGCTTTTGCATCACCAATGAAACATAGATAGACATTCTTCTGGTATTCCCTGCTTTCAGCTAAGATTCATCTAACATCAGCTACAATATCCCTAGTACCACAACCCCTTCTAAATCCAGCCTGGACTTCTGGCAATTCTCTGCTGATGTGCTGCTCCAGTCGTTTTTGGATAATCTTCAATAGAATTTTGCTTGCATGTGAAATCAATGTTATTGTTCTATAGTTTCCACACTCTGTTGGGTCACCCTTCTTTAGAATGGGAACAAACATAGATCTCTTCCAGTCAGTTGGCCAAGTAGTTTTTCTCCAGATTTCTTGGCACAACTTGGTGAGCACATCAGCAGGATACGCTCAGTCTATTTAATGATCAAGTCCAATTGCCCTGGCTCCAATATCACATCAAGGTTAACGCTTATATTCTCCAATTCACATACCATATACCCTATGAAAGGAAGCTCTGGTGGTCTAGTGGTAAAGAGCTGCACTTTGAACCCAAAGGTAGTCTGAATCCACCATCTGCTCTGCAGGAGAGAGATGGGCTATCTCCTTTTGTGAAATTTACAACCTTGGAAACCCAATAAAGGTCAGCTATGAGTTGGTTCCAACTCTGTAAGTTTATGAGATTACCAGAAGACTTAGTACAGGAACAGATAAGGATTAATTGAATAAGGAAGCTTTTCACACTAAAAGACATGCAGGATTATTCATTATAGAGTATAAGTAGATTTTGTGATTCTAGGTGGTTAGATCACTTTTAAGAAATGAATGTTTGCTCTGCATTTATCTGAACTAGGCCACCAATCTCCTAGGATAACATTACAATAATTAGTGCAGTTTCCACTGAAGTTAAGCACATACTCTAAATGCTTTCCAAAAAATTGGCTATTGATCTCATCTTGAAGTGCGAATAGCCCAGTTTCCTAACATAATAAATTTAACTCACAACAAAGGGACATAACCACAGATAACCTGAAGAGCTCTCATGGTATAACCTGTCGAGAGTTACATGATAACCCAAAGGCAGCACCTATCTGGTGGTTCAAATCCACCAGTGGGTCCATGGTAGAAAGATAGGCAATCTCTTCTCATGTGATGTACACCCTCGAAAAGCCAACTGGAAGGTCAGCTATAAGTTAGTTCTAACTTGATGGTGATAAGTAAAGAGACCCTGACATTAGTACTATGGCAATACCTGCAAATTGGTTTAGTTAATGTAACTGCCAAGCATGATGTTCACAACTCACAGCATATTCAATCCTAAGGAATTACCCTCAAGAGTACCCTACAGTGCACATCTAAGGGCTAGCCAACGAGCAAGTACAAAGGTCTGGCCCCTTGTCTTAACTGAGGGATATCTCTGAGGGGCTTACTGTGTTTATTGTGGGACTGACTTTGAAGCAAATGCCTCTACATTAAACTTCTCCTTCTGCCTAATCCTGCCTTCCTTGTTCTTTACCTGGTGTGGTAGCTGAGAATATTCACTAATGAACCACCTACATAAATTTTCACTTCAGAATCTGTTCCCCAAAGAACATGGCCCATGTCAGCTGGCATCTGAGTCACCCATGCTGCACTTTTAAGTAATAGCTTATGAAACAAGTTAAAAAACAAACTCACTGTCACAGAGTTTATTCCAACTAAGGGCAACCCCACGTGTCACAAAGCAGTTCTCCATACGGTTTTCTTGGCAGTAGTCGGACACAACTGTTTGTACCACCCAAGGACACAGACTACATTTAAAGAGTTTCAACAATCTCACCTTGACAAAATGTAAGCATACCTGGTGGCCACATTTAAGACATAGCCAAATTGAAGGATTTTCTTCTGTTTCCTCTTCAGACTTATCATTTACTTTATTGTCCGTCTTACAGTCTTGACAAATATTCCATTCCACATTCACTAAAGCCTTTTTCAAATTGCCTTGTTCCAAGCCTTTTCTGATGTGTCTACACGTAGGTTCTATTAAAACAAATAATACAGAAGTACATGAGCTCAGTTATGATTCTTTAGAAATCATCAGAAATTACTTTTCGTTCAACATTCAAAAATGTATTCTATACATAGTCAACCTGAAAACGTATTTTAAATCTGTTGTGTGCTATACAATGATTATGTGAAAAACAAAATTTATACAAATTTTAAATTTCATTTTTTAGTTTAGCTCTATGTACAACTCCTCCAAAAATCACTTCAATTTATTGAGCAATTTTCTTTAAATTCAGGTCCTTTTATCTTGAAAAATCTAGCAGAAGAGACAGATACATGAATAAATGCACAAAGAGCTCCAAAACATGCTACAGCAGTACAAGAAAAGGCTTAAGTCACCCCAAAGTTTAGGGGGGTTTGGGGTGGGGGGTAGCACCTGAACAGTCTTGGAAGAGAGTAATAGTAAGAAGTCTTGGTGGCCAAAAAAAAAGCAGCAGCAGCAGCAGCAGCCTTGGTGGCATTATGGATTCTATGCTAGACAGGATAATCAGAAGGCTAACAGTTTGAATCTTTCAGTTGTTCCCCAGTAAAAGAAGAGACAGTCTCCACTCATCAAGATAATGGTTTGGGGTTTGATTTTGATATGAACCTGGCAATGTGTTAAATGTTTGCATATATCTCACTTTCACCCTCACTGCTACCTGGAATCAAGATACCATTATGTCCAAATGACAGATAAGAAAACAAAACTATCCCAAGGACACTAACTACAAAGCGGCTATGAGAGAATCAGAACTCAGGTTTTCTTGACTCCAAGGCTCACACACTAAACCACATCCTCACAGAGTGAAGGATAATATAAAAGGGCAACATCTCATGAACAAAGTTATGGAGAGATGAAGGTATATTCTGCTTCTCCAGAATAACCAGTAAATGACTCAGCATACAATATAAAAAAATTTTACAACAGGACCCGAAGCTGAAAACTCTTTTTTTAGTAGTAGGTTAAGTAAAGAGTTTTTTAATTTGCTCTAGAAAGCCTGAGGTATTGCAAAGGTTTAAAAAAATAGTTAAGGGATAAGACTAGCATTAATCCAATGAGCCTGCAATTTACTGAAGGAGAAATACAAATGCAAATGAGATCATGAGAAAAAATACTAGACCTCAGGAGTAACCAAAAATATAAACTTGAAAAAGAAGATGCCTTTCTTTAAGCAACAAATGAACAAATATTTTTACAAATGATATAAACAGTGCTTGTGAACATTTAGGAAAATAGGCATTTATTATGCTGCTTCTGTCGCTGTTTTGTTGGCTACTGTCAAGTCCACCTGTGACCCATGTCAACCCTACACATAACCAATGAGACCACTGAGACCCAGGGTGTCACCATCTGATTTTCAGAAATCATCAGGACTCATTTCTTCTTGTCTAGATGCTCTGTTAAAATTTGTTTAGCAATACACAAGACTCCTCTGACAGACAAATGGTAGCTAGCCCTTTAAAATAAAAAAATATTTCTGGAGAATAATCGGCGACAGTATCAAAGGTGCCTAAGGGAGTTCTGGTGGTGTAATCTCTAAGGAGTTGCACTCCTAACTCAAAAGCTATGCATCTCTGGTGGTTTGAATCCACTAGCAGCTCCCTGAGAGAAAGATGGGTAATCAGTTTCTTCCCCTCTTATTTTCAACCTCTGAAACCTCATGTGGGGTTAGTCATGAGTCAATTCTGAATTAATGGCAATGAGTTGGGGCTTTTTTAATATTAAAAGAACCTTAAAAATGTCTATACCGTTTGATTCAGCAACTCAATTAAGGACTAAAGGGAGCTCTTGGTGGATTAGTGGTAAGGAATCGCACTGCCAATACTAAAGGAATGCAGTTAAATTCCACCAGCTGCTCTGTAGAAGAAAGACAATTTCCTCCTGTCAAATTAATTGCCACTGAAAACCCGCGAGATGGTCAGCTATGGGTCAGCTTCAACTCGATTATAATAACAACAACTAAAAAAAAAAGAGCAAAGAGACTTAGCTAGAAAGATGTTTACCGCTGCTTTATCTATAACACTCGAAAATTAAAAGAGTATGTACATCAATAACAGGAGGGAATAAGCTACATAAAACATGAAATATGCATTCATGGTCCTATACATCAATAGACTACTATGCTAATAAAATATTACAGTTGCCTATTAAGTGGCATAGCTGTTACAAACTGTTGAGTCAGAATTGACTCATAGTTGACCCTCCAGCAGGTTTACAGATGCAGTTAATCACACAGGAGGAAATTACCCATATTTCTCTCACAGTGGACTCAAACCTCTTGCCTTTAGATTGCCAGTATAACTCCTTACCATTAGATTACCACATCTCCCTGCAGACAGGGTGCTCCTTGGAGGTAAGGACAGTGAAACTTCATCTGACATATTTTGAGCATGCTGTTAGGAGGAGTTAGTTCTTGGGAAAGGACATCATGATTGGAAAGGCAGAGGATCAGTGAAGAAGGGGAAGACCTTCAACGAAGTGGATTGACACAGTGCCTGTAATGGCTCGAGTGTATCAGAGATGCTGAGAATTGCCCAGAATAGGGCAGGGTTCAGATGCATGGCACTTAACAACAACATCATTAAGTGGCATGTAGATAGAAATATTTTACTAAAATGGAGATGATATAAAAATAATGTACACTTTGTTTTATATATAAAAAGTACATAATCCATTTGGAAATAGAAACATTAAATATTCAATTAGTGAAATATACCTAAAGATTCAGAAGAAGCATCAGTTGAAACAGTTTTTCCTTTTGTCCTTTTCTTTCCCATGTTGGCACTTTATGGATGACTTAATGACACAAAATAACAATCTAGAAAACAAAACAAAGTTAGCTAGACCAAAAAAAAAAAAAGTAATGTTTTAGATTTCTGTAGGAGACAGTACTATAGCTAAACATACCTATTATTTTGTATGCATCATACCTTATCATTTATAAAGACCATTCATATATAATTTTTATACTAATTTTGTGCATTAGATAAGATCAGATAGATAGTGCCACCCATGTCTTTCATAGCTTAAAAAAGTAATATTTAGTAAGGTTAAGAAATTTTTAAATGAACAAAAGGTAAAGGTAAAGAATATGTCTTTTTACCTAGGTCTTTAGCAAGCTAATTCCTCATTACATCAAGGTGGAATATTGGCGACATCTTTAAATCTCAGATTTCTTTCCTTTCCTTTAAAGCTACCTTAGCTCTTCATCATACAGAAATCAGAATTTGAAATAACATTGCTAGGAGTGAGAAAATTAAATAACTCAAAAAGCAAATATAAGAAGTAATTCTGAATTTCTACACCAAAACTTTCTATTGACTACTAACAAGCAAAAACCTGTAGTCTCCACTACATACATTGTTATACTACTGCCAAATCAGTTTGGGAGCCAAACTCCCAACTGCATATCAATTCTCTGCTTCTTTAAACAATACTTTAAAATCAGAAAATGGGAAATATTGAAGTACACACAAGTCTACCAAGTTTTACACAATATTATTCTGAAAAATTTTATTTTGCATGTATTTTTTTTAAAACCCCAAAACTTATGTCAAAATCACTTCACTTACTAACTCTCTAATTGTTATTTTACATGGGATACTTATTAAAATTCTAATACCATGTATCGAAGCCAAAGGTGGGTGATTTTATTCTGCGGCCTTCAGGCCTGGTTTTGTTTTTTGTCAAACACTCTTCTAAGGAGTATAGCACTAGCCTGTCCATTTGCTGAACAGAGGTAACTTGTGGTTACTGTGATGCTAAACACCGTTGACACTGATGTGGCAAATGTGATAATGGTTACCCATGGTGGACAGTATTTGCTGGAGCTTCCCAATTAAAACAAGCTTGGAAGTAGGAGTGGCATCCACTTCCAAAACAGCTTGCCTCCAGAAACCCTATGAACTTGGAGAAATGATGAAAGTTATGCAAGTGCTCAGGTCTTTCATTGGGAGGGTTGCTATGACTCAATGGAACTTAACAACAACAACATACCATATATCAGGCAGAGTTCAGAACTGCTGTACATAGGGTCGCCATGGGTCCCAGGTGACTTGACAGTACATAACAACAATATATTGAAAATGTGACCCAGAAAATGTGTTGAAATGCTGCCCAAGTAATTCTGATATGTAACTGTCACCACTGCTCTGGCTTCAAGTTTCAGATATATTCCTAGTTAAGCTGCTGAAAAATTATTGTACTTAAAGGTAATTTTTTTAAGTTTATCTGGAAAATTCTACACCAAGTAATTGATAAAATCTTTCCAAAGATAATCTAAAATATTTACAAAATAATTAACAACAAAAGAAGAAAAATACATGGAAATGTATTAAATAAGTACCTTTTATGTATTTTTGCCAATCCTGGAAATGGAATTTCATGTAATTAATCTAGAACAAACTGCAGATTTTATGTGGGAGAAAGTGGCAATCAATTTTTTTTTTACTCCAGTCGAACTCTCGCTAATCTGTGCTACGTTACAATATTAGACTCATCTTCCAACAATTTCATTTTCATTTTATTGCTCCCTTGAGTACAAGAATTTTACAGTTTTCTGTCAGGGCTTGGCACTTGTTATTGTTGTTGTTATGTGCCATTGAATCAACTACAACTTACAGCAATCCTACTTGTTCCTTATAATTTACTTCAACACATTGGTAATCCACTCATTACTCCCGTTTATCAAGGAATTAAGCTTTTGGTTTAGCTTGGTTTGTTTTTGGTTTGTTTTTTTTTCCAATATATGCATATGGAAGTGCAACCAAGATGTTTCTTAAAAGCAAAGATGGTCAACAATGAATGAATGGAAACCCAAAATCTCTGTAAATGTTTATGAAAATTAATAAAATATAATTATAGGGAAAAAAATTTAAAAAAAAAGCAAAGATGGTAAAATTTCATCTCACATACTTTGGGTATGTTTTCAGGAGGGACTAGTCCTTAGGGAAAAAAATCATGCTGAGAAAGGTAGAAGGTCAGAGAAAGAGAGGAAGATCTTCAACAAGATGGACTGACAGTGACTTTAACAGTGGAGATAAGCATATCACCAATCATGGGGATGTTACAGAAGAGTGCAAGGTTCAGATGGGTTGTTTTCACGGTACCTATGAATCACAGTTGATGTGACAACACTAAAACATATATAGCAAAATACTTGTCATTTCAAAATGAAGTGTGAATTATTACAGTGCTTTTGGTATGCAAAGCCTTTAACAAACATTATCTCATTTAACTTTCACAACTCTTTAAACTAGCCATTCCCTAAATTTTACTGTTAGGTGCCGTCGAGTCGTGCATGACTTACAGCAATAATATCAACAAAAGATCTGAACCCTGTTCTATCCTGCACCATCCTCACGCTTCCTGACACACAAGAGCCTATTGCAGCAGTCACTGTGTCAATCCTCTCCTTCACCAACCGGCCACCCTTCCCAGCATCATGTTCTTCTCCAAGGAACAGCTAGCTCCTCCTAGCAACATGCTCAAAGTATGTGAGGCAAAGCCTCATCATTTCTGCCTCCAAAGAGCACTCCAGCGGCACCATCTCCAAGACATATCTGTTCATTCTCTTGGCCATTCGTGGGATGTTCCGTGCTCTCCTCCAACACTGCAGTTCAAAGGTGTTCATTTTTTTTCCCTATTATCCTTATTCATTGTCTAGCTCTCAGATGCAAGCAAGTAATTGGAAAGACCATGGCCTGAGTCAGACACACCTCAGACTAACATCACTCCTCCTCAATAATTTGGAAAGGTTCCTAACTGCAGATTTTGTCAATGCAATGCATCTCCTTATTTTCTGACTGCTCGTACCATGGGTGTTAATTGTGGATCCAAGCAAGATGAAGCTGTTGACAGTTTCAATCTCCTCCTCATGCATCATGATGCTACCTATTGGTCCAGTGGTGAGAATCTCTGTTTACTTGGTATTGAGAGGCAATCCATACTGAATGCTGCATTTCTTGATCTTCTGCAACAAGTGCTTCAAGTCCTCCTCACTTTCAGCAAGCCAGGTTGTATCATCTGCATAATGCAGGTTATTGATGAGTCTCCCTCCAATCCTGATGCCATATTCCTCTTCACAGAGTCCAGCTTATCAAATAATTTGCTCAACATACAGAATGAATAGGTATGGAGAAAGAATACAAGCCTGACACACTCCTTTCTCAATTTTAAACCATGCAGTGTTCCACTGCTCTGTTCACACAACAGCCTCCTGGTCCATGTATAGGTTCCGCATGAGCACAATTAAGTGCTCTGGGATTCTCATTCTTCTCAATGTCAACCACAACTTGTTATGATCCACACAGTCAAATGCCTTTACATAATCAATAAAGTATTAATATGCATTCTTCTGATAATCTTTACTTTCAGCCAGGATCCATCTGACATTAGCAATGATATCCCTGGTGCCATAGCCTCTTCTAAATCCTGCTTGAACTTCTGGGAGTTCCCTATCTATGTGCTATTCTAATCCTCTGAAATAAAACAGTGGAAGATCACAGGGGGGGCAGAAATTTCAAGATTCGAAGATTATGATTTGTCCATTATAATTAAGCCAGACTCCTTATTATCCTCCACTCCAAAGCATATGTCCTCATGCCTATGTCTTTGATTTCTAGCAAGAATTTTGTTCTCTCCATCTATCAAAACTTTACAAATCCTCCAAACTCTCCATTCACTGAAAACTGAGCCAGCCTTTTTACTCTAAATAAACTCTTCTGTTGAAGTTCCCCAGCATTTGTACTATGTTCTATTCCTCTTATACTCTAATTAGATACTATCGCAAACTGCTTCTCTAATTGTTAACCTGATGAAATATTTTTATCTGAAATCTGAAAATCTAGGTGAAAGAGATGGTTTTAACCATTCCTTCTGCATTGTCTACAGCATCTAACAGAGACTTAGCACATGGCTTACTGTTGTTGTTAGGTGCCATTGGGTGGAATATGATTTATGGAGACACTATGAACAACAGATCTGAATCCTGTCCTATCTTATGCCATCCTCATCATCTCTGACACATTTGAACCCACTGCTGCAGTCACAGTATCAATCCATTTCATTGAGAGTCTCCCTTTCTTTTCTGAACCTTCATTTTTCAAAGCATAATGCCCCTTTCCAAGGAGTAGAGTCTCCTCACAACATGCCAAAAGTATGTCAGATGAAGTTTCTTGCCTCTAAGAAGCACTTTGGTCATACTTTTCCCAAGATATATGTTTGTTCTTTTTGCAGTCTAGAGGATATTCAATAATCTCCAACACCACAACTCAAAGGCATCACTTCCTTCAAGAAATACTTATATTGGCAAGCTCTGCTGACCTAGTGGCAAGTAGCTGCACTGCAATCCAAGAGGTGTATGGTTCAAACCACCAGATGCTCTGCTGGAGAAGGAGGAACAATCTCCTCCTGTACCAATCAGATCCGATTTGACAGTACCCACACAAAGAAAGAAAAAGAAATTAAAAAAAAGAAATACTTATATCGAAATGAAATATTGCTCATGCCACAATGAATGATTATATGGTTCAAAATAAATGAGGCAAACACATTCCAGTGGACAAGAAAAGGGTGGTGGTGTTGTTGTTGTTGTTATGTGCCGTCGAGTCGCCTGCGACTCATAGCGGCCCTTTGTACAACAGCCCTAAACTCCACTCTGTCCTGTGCCAATCACACTGTATCTGACACTCCCATCCCAATTATC